ATTTCGTCTCAGCAATCAGCATAATCTGCAGGACGCGTTGAAGAAATTGCTGCCAATCAATGATGATATTGAAGCTGCGATAGAGGAGCCTGAAGGCAAACTGGGCTGAGATCATGTGCTACAATGCGCTAAAGCCCCAAGAGAGCAGCAGCTGCAAGTCGATCCTTTGCCTATCTTTTCTTGTGCTGGATGGCTGGCAGGCATGGATGCCAAGGACAAGGCTCCAAGCTGTCCTCCAATGGGAGTTTGCCATGGCATGAGTGCAGCGCAGGCGATATTCGATTCCTACTCCCTCCTGTTTCGGAAAGTTGGCGATGTTTGGAACAAGTTTGGGGTGAACTCGCGCTATGCCCGCAAGTTGCTAAAGAGTAGAAGGCGTTGCAATGTCGATATTCATCGCGACCCCTGTCTTGTTCGGATTTGATTTCTATCAGGCTTACAGTTGATGCTGGCGACGCGTACGACGAGAATGGTCATGAGGTTGTGGTGGGCACAGTTGATTTCCACAAGAGCAAAAATACTTACCTTTGGTTAGCTAGNNGAAGGAATGGATCCGTGTAGTAGTCTCTACATAGCCCACTATAGTAGTTTCCATTTTCTTTTACATTCCTTCATTCCCAGCTAGCCAAGGGTAAGAACAGTATTTGCTAATGTTTGTGTTGAGGCCAGGTAGAGGCAGAGGTCTCGCATGTCGGGAGTCTGAGGTGGAGCAGAGAGAGCCTGCAGATGGCCAGGAGTCAGGAACTGTCATCGAGGTTGTGAAGCTGTGCGAGCAAGAAACAATTAGCATTAGTAATATCATTATTATTGTTCTCATCAGTATTATTTTCATTTCTATGATTGTACAATCGTTACTGCTTTGGTTTTTACATAACCATTGTTACTGCTTTCACTGGTACAGTTGAAGACTTTGTGTCAGTTGCAACTGACAGCTGCCGGCTGCCACTTGATCCAAGGAAATCCGGATACTCCTGCGATGGGAAGGTAGTTATTCCACCTCAGGCCTGCTGGCTGTTTCAAAGACTTTAAGTTTGTACCCTAAACTTTGTATATCCCTTCAAGGGGACCTGGAAACCAGACCAGTAGAGGCTTGACGTTGAAGCCAAAGGTGTACCTTAGGAGGACCCCCCACCCAGTAATAGTGGTATAATAGGAATATAATAGGACCCTAATACAATCCCTATTATCCCTTTTAGCCACTATTACAGGGTGGGGGGTGCTCCTAAGGTCTACCAGACTCCATGTGTTGAGCTTAAGGTGATTATTGCTTCCTCTGCCTCAAGCACACCTGAAGAGGCCTCCGTGCATCTGTATAAAATGTTGGGTGCTCATGTTATTTCCAGGGCTATATGATTTGTTTAGCTAGAAATGCAGGCACCGGAGGAGCAGGCTGAGGAGGCTCCTGAAGAAACTTTGCCTTCAATAAGATTCTGATTAGGACTTACCCAGTAATGTTGCAGCCAAGGAAGCTGAAGCTGCTGCTTGATGCTGCTGAGAATCTATGCCTTGTATTCTCTGATCTTATGAGCCCGCAGAAAAAGCGACGACATGGCTGCATTGCAAGGATGCGCCCGTGTCTACCCACAGCATAGTTTCAACGTGCTGAAATCAGCGTGAGACGCTGAACAAGTCCTCCTGACATTTTCAGCAGATGCAGCTACAGGCTGCATCAAAAGACATTTGCCTATAATGTTGGCTGCTACTGATGGAGAAAGGATATGGATGTATATCACGCAGAGACTTAAATGGACTGCTGTATCGTATGGGTTAAGTACAAGGTAGCCATATTTTACAGCTCAAGATGCTGACCCGGTTGACGAACTGGTGACCCTTTCTGGAGCCTGTGGCTGCTTCTGGGTACTGCAGGAAGCCAATATGACACATAGACTTTCCTGATTTTACAAAATCGACACCCAGCTGCAAAATATGCTCTCATGCACATCAGTGCACCTGGGTTACCAGCATGCGCACAGAGTCCGACTTGCTGAGTTAGCTCCTCGTGCTGCGCTTCTCGCTTGTTTTTCCACCTGCGCAACATTTTGGCCTAGTAGTAGTCCCTCGCATGCGTCCGGTGAGCTGCCAGGCTCTTACCCTGTAGAGGACCATGCAGGCTTTGACATGCCAAGTCTTTGGTGTTTTTCTGATCTTCTCTGGCCGAGGTCGCATGGACGCTCTCAGTTGGCTATGCTGATAAGGCCAGGGGTTGAAAGGGCTTCAGCAGTCTTCACCAAGTCCACATGCAACGAGCCGTGTGCCTTTTTGGGTATAGCTGCTGTATGACTGGAGACTTCGCAACACCGTGATGGATCATCAGGTTATGCACGTGGGCAGCCGTGCTCAGCATTTCCAGATGTGCAAATGCCCCTTACCTCGAAGTACAAGCGTTTCGAACAGCCTGTGTATATGTGTGGTGGTCATGTTACATGGAGTCTGACTGACAGTGACAGCTGCCTCAGGTGTCTGTGAACATCTCAGCACCGGTGCCACCCGCAAATATCAGCATTGCGGCCATATCCAAAGGTGAGATTGCGGCAGCCGCTGCGTCAGCAGCAGAAGCCACGAAGGAACAGGTGATCCAGACAGCTGCAATGACAGCTGGCACAGCTGCGGCACAGGCTTCCCGAGCTGCGGGAGCTACGGAAGTTAGTGTGGAAGCACAGGCTGCCAAAGCAGCCCAAGAGGCCGCCGCAAAAGCTGGAGCAAGCAAAGATGAAGCTGCAGAGGCAGGTGGAGAGGCAGCCGTGCTGGTGGCTGGGCAGGCCAGGGCTTTTGAAATGACAGGGAGCACACCAGTTTCAAGCTATATGACCCATAGTCTAAGCTCCTAAAAGGGGGTTATATAAGGGATATAGGGGACTACTATAGGGACCATTAAGGAGAATACTACGAGTTTAGAGACTATGCCTCATATGAAGCCCGCAAGGCAAGCATGCCAAGTACGATTGCGGTTGCTGATGCCTGGTCAATAGTGAACGGCACTCGGTGCTTAAACTGGTGGGGCATCTTGGCGGGAAAGGGCTTCTAGAATTCCAAACGTTGTTTCAGTGTTTAGTTGTTTGGCCAATTCATCCGCTCCCTGAGATTTTTGCAACATCTTTTCTGCGCCAACGAGGTGATGGTTGCGCTGCTATCACCGATCGCCTGGCATGCTTACGCTCCCGGGATGCTGGGTTGCTGTTGAGGAACTTAGTTCAAGTTGCTATATTGGGGAAACCCTATAATCTATTATATATATACCCTTTATGGTAACTTAAACCCTATAAACCCTGAATGCCCTTTATATCCAATCTCGCTTATGTAACCTGCATACCCATTAGGGTAACTTAATTTAAGCTCCTTAATCCCTAGATCCCTCTACCCTAAACAGTAGTCTCCATTTTATTTTCCATTATACCCATTAGGGCAACTTAATTTAAGTTCCCTAACAGCAACCCAGGATGGTAGTGATGTGGCTCAGCGGCCTGGCGGCATTTCTAGGAGACAGGCAAGACAATATAGGGATAATGGAAAAGACAATGGAAGCCACTATATAAGGGTTATACAGGGATTATAGGGTATAAGATGGGGTTATGTAGGGATAATGGAAAAGACAATGGAAGCTACTATTTAGGTTCTAGGGTTTAG